AACCATATTAAAAGTGTAAACTCACGAAAGTTGCTGCTGCGATATAATCTAAGTTACAACATTACTAAGCTAAATCCACATATCATATAACTTAACTACTAAATGATAAACTTAATGAACTTTATATGCCAGTGTCACCCACCACCTCCATCAATTTTAGAAGAGCTCTGCCATTTCAAAAAGAAACTTCATATTGAACAGCTGCCATGTGGTGTAATGAGTTTCTACTGAAAGCGTGTGGGAATGGTATATCCATACAACGGGTTATTGTTTTCCAATAAGACAGGATGAACACCTGATCATGATACATGCTAAGTGAAAGCTCCAGTTACAACCGTCACAGGTTATATGAAATATATATGTGAAATGTGCAGAAAAGGCAAAGCTAGAGAGACAGACAGCACGTTAGTGGTTGCCAGGGTTCTGGGGCGGTCCTGGCTACGCTTGAATAGAAAGTTATTGCTAGAGTTTGCTAAATTTTTTTTTCCTGGGATAACAAAAATGTCCTAAAATCAATCATGATGGTGGTTGTACAGTCCCGTGAGTAGATTAAAACCTTGTGCTCTGTGCTCTTCCATAGATGACCCCATACACTGTGAGAACCGCTACCTAAAGCTGCGTTTGGAAGTCTGTAGTACATAGATCAGAAGTATCATGTATAGAGGTGGAGAAGGCCCTGAACGAGTTACCATTCTTTTTGTGTGGAGGACTGACGGATGTTCTTAGTGTGTTTATCATTTCCAACAGTGACCACAGATTAATCACATAAGAAAAGCTAGCTGTAAGAAGCATGGACTGGCTACTTGAGGGTTCTGAGGAATCGCTGACTTTAGGGTATAACAGTGACGTCAGGGTTATCTCATATGTTACCATACGGTCATGTTAATCACACATGACATGTTTCTCAGTGGTGTCCATGACACTCTGGACAATGGGGTCATGAGGGACGGTATTTTGTTCAATATGCTTCTAAGCATTTTCCACCGCTTTGAAATGACCCACCTACTGTGTAGTGATAAGAACTTTGAGAGAAAAAAGTCAATTCCTAAGCTCCTACTGCCAGGGTCACACAGACACGTGATATTATGTCACACGGAAAACAGCTGGGGCCAGTGGAGCTGGCCCAACCGAGCAACGGGAATTGTTAAAGCTGGGCCATTAATTATAGGGAGGTCCCTGGGTTACTGTCTCCTGTAGATATCATAAGAGACATCACAAGCTGTCAGGACAGAATAGCGCCTCTGAGGTTTCAAAGCACTGTGTGCACACAAATGCACAAATACCCAGAAGGAACAAATCGCTGCTTCTCTTGGGTGGTGGCTTACAGGGGACAGTATTTTGTCCTGTATGTCTTTTGTGTACTTTCAGTTATTTCTGTGATGGAAAAAAATCTGCTATAAAATTGTTTTCTCATGTCCAAGAAGTCACCTAAATAATAATAATATGTTATATAACATGAAGTGCAAACATTTGATATAGACCCATGACTAGGCTAGGAAAAAAAAATCTATGCCTTACTTGAATGATTGCTAGGCTATCTACCCCAGGAATCAAGAGCCACTAAGCATGGCTCTGCTGCAAGCTGCCCAGACTGTGGGTGTGACCTGGAACACTCACAATGTCATTCAGAAAGTAGCCAGCATAACAAAACAAAACAAAACAAAACAAAACAAAACAAAACAAAACAAAAAAAAACCCGCAAAAACTGAAAACAATGCTTGTGTGAGAAACTGAGAAACTATGAAGCTCACCGTTTCTAGTGTACAGTTAACTTGATTTCATCAGGTACTCATCCGGGTAAATCATTTTCTTAAAAGAGATTTCTGGTAAGTTGCAGGGTGGACCGTGTACATCAACCATGGAGAAGGCTGTTACAAACCCCCCTTTACTACATACATCTAAAGCTTCCCAAGAATGAGGCTCTTCAGAGGCACAGGGGTAGGGTAGAAACTTGTATACACACAGGCAAGACGTGCGTCTTGGAGTGGGGATGTAGGTCAGTAGGGCAGTCGTAGGAGGTCCTGGGTTTGAACCTTAGCACTGGAACACACAAAGAACCCACCAAGACCAGGGTGATGGGTAGAAAGCAACCCGAAGACCTAGAGTGGATCCCTGGATTCCACAGTGAAGGAGATAACTGACTCCAGAAGGCTGTCCTCTGAGCTCTACATGCACATCATGGCATGTGTGTCCCACGTCACACACACACACACACACACACACACAGAAATGTACATACACATACATACAGAAACACATACAGGCACACACACACACAGACATATACCCAGACACAGAAACATAGACACACATAAACATACAGGCACATAAAGACACACAGACACACAGGCACACACACAAAGACATATGCACAGATACAGATACATAGACACATACACAAGAACACACAGACACACACAAAGACATATGCACAGACACAAACACACATAGACACATATACAAATATATAGAAACACACAGACATACAGACATACAAACATACACACATAGAAACAGACACACAGACACACACAAACACACAGATATACACACAAGCACACAAAGACACACACACACAGACACACATGTAGACAAAGACAGACACACATAACAGACACATAGACATTCACACAAACACACACACATAAAACTACACAGACACAAACACACAGGCACACACATACACAGAGGTACACAAAGACACACACAGATACACACACAGCCCTACATACATACAGACACACAAACACACACATAGATACACAGAAACACAGGCAAAAACAGACACCGATACATTCACACACAGAGAGTAAACAAAAACACTTCTGTGCACTTTATTTTCTCCTTCATAGTCTATTTTGCTAACCCTGATTTTGTGAAAGACCTTGGCCGATTGTCTCGGGAACGTCACACTGGAACCAGTATAATGTTGCGGAGGCGGCAACTTTATTTGTAAGTGCGTCTGAGGCAATGACGCCGGAGAAACACATTTGGCGAGCAGCTAGACGGGAAAATGGTTGCACCGGGTCCTGACACATGAGACTTGAGTTTTCCTTAGGCACAGCTGTCCCAGAAGCGACTAGAGCTAGTGACATTGACAGAGGCTTACTTTGTCCAAGTATGATGCCAGATTCATCACACAAACCCTATGGAGGTCAAGAAACTATTTGTTAAGGTACTAGTTTCTGCCCAAGTTTACAAAGCTTGCAGAGGCTGGGTTTGTTCCTAAATCTTGCTGACCCAGTGACCTCTGTTCCTAATACCAATCATGGAATGCCACTTCTCACCCATGAATGTATACAGTGGCTCAGTAAGGCTAGCTGCTAATGCCGCTCCATGGTCTTGGCCCAACGGTTACATTTCAGTTGTATGTCCTTAGGAAACCACGAGGGACTTAGGGTTCCAGACTAAGCCTTTCTGTTATTCGGGAAGAGAATGCTTCAACTGAGAAATTGTCCATACTAAACAGGCCTGTAGGAAGGCCTGTGGGTCACTTTATCAATTAATAATTGATGTGGGAGGACCCCAGCTCACTGGGGGTTTGGGGCTACCCCTGAGCAGCTGGTCCCTGATGTAGTAAGAAAGCAGGCTGGGCAAGCCAGGGAGACAAGCCAGTAAGTGTTGTTCCTCACAGGTCTCATCTTGAGTCCTGTCTTCAGGTTTCTGCCCTGCTTGTATTCCCTGCAACGTGGAAGTATTAAGATGAAATTAACTCTTCTCTCTCCACGTTGCTCATGGTCACGGTGTTTTATCCTAGCCATAGACACCCTAACACAGACACATACAGTAGCCTATCAGTAAAAGAGAGGTGACCAATTCCATGTGGGGAGGTAGGGAAGATGGCTGGAATTCTTGGAAAAAATGCCAGGTTGGCGGTGCCCTCAGAGCAGATGACAAATGGTTACCAAGGATAACCATTATGGATAACCATAGCAGGGGAAACGGCCTGGCTGGGCGAAGGTGTGGAGATGGGGACAGGCCTGGTACATGTGCTGTTTGGTGTGTTAGCCTGCGGATTCCAACAGCTGCAGGTAGGCAGGTGGACGGGGCACAGTAGGAGGAGTAATTCAGCTCTCAGAAGCTAGGATGGAGGACCAGTTCCCATGTATGGCTTGGCCTTATCAAGAAGTATGCTTTTATGTGGGACATACTGGAATAGGGTTTCAGCATGAGAGAGAGCCGGGGACTGGATTCACCTGGTTGAATCTGAGCAGGCATTAGAACAGAGGTCAAGTCAGAGGACTGGTTAATCTGGCTGGTGGTGGGGACTTGGGGGAGGGACTAGGGGAGGTGTCATCATTGAGTGAAATGTGCTTCTTATAAAAACTTGTATGGTTGAGGTCAGCCGGTTTCCTACCTGGGAAAACAGGCTTAATAAAATAACTGCATTTATAGACTCATGAAACCTGACTGTGCTTAGTAACTAACGCACGCTGTCCTGATTTTCAACGTCCTCTGTGAAGTGTCCAAATTCCCGCTGAAGTTAAAAAGAGAAAAAATACCAGTGCTTTGCTGATGACCGTCAGCTCTGTAATATACCACACACAGTCTGCCTATTGGTTTGGGATCCCCGCTGACAGGTAAGTATCACTTGGCATTCTTGTACCATAAAAATGGTCTTTTATCTCATTTTACCTTGTTCCTTGAAGGAATATTCAACGATAATCTCAATTGAGAAAATGAAGAATGGAAAAACGGCTTACATTCCCAAGCTTCATGGTTTTCTGTTTTGTTTTGTTTGTTTTTTTCCCCATAGTCAGCTCCCAGAGCTATGAAAACTTAGGGTGTTCAGAGGCAATGTCTGCTCAGCCCAGGGTGAGGCCACAGTAAGGGAGGGTGACTCATGCTGGACTCAGTAAACAAATGGCCTCAGACCTTGGTGGTGCCGGAGTAAATGCAGGGTTGGTGACCGAGGACAACTGCCTTTCCAGGAAGTTGGTTAAGAAAAGAATCCTGTTGAGCAAAGACTTGAGAGAATAGGAAGAGGAAAGCCCACTTACTGATGCACGAAATCAGGTCATTAAACCTTTCCTTAGGAAAGAGGGGGTTTTCCAGCCCGCGGAAGTATAGCTTCAGAACGCCCGCCACGGAGTTAATATCGTGGTTGCTCTGGTCATCGGCCAGAGGGTTCTCACCTGAAAAAGAAAATTTGTTATATGTACAGTATGGTTATTTTTCTCTCAACACATGCATCTGCACACACACACACACACACTCTCACACACACACACACACTCTCACACACATGCACACACATACACTCACACACACACAGGCACACATACACACACAAGAATACACACATACACTCTCACACATACACAGTCACACACACACACATTCTCTCTCTCTCTCTCTCTCTCTCTCTCTCTCTCTCACACACACACACACACACACACACAGAGGAACACATGAGTCTTAATTACGTTCTCCAAAAGATTATATAGTACTAAAATGGAAATAATTGGTTTAGATATCTTACCCCATGATTAACCTAAAAATAGTTGGCTAAAATAAAGCTTAAAAAGTTCTTATGCTACCAAATACTCCCTAACGACTTGCCCAAATCTCAAAATAAAACATTGTGGGGTTTATAACTTTATCCAGCTTTTTATTTTTAACGCTAAAATCAGTAAGCTTAGGTTGACACGAACTCAAAAGACTACAGTCAGGGTTTCTTATTCATCTGGCAGAAAGATGCTATTGTGGTTGGTCTGACTATACAACCCAAGTCAGCAAAATTTACCAGAAATACACAATGGTGATTGTGAACACCTGCACTAAATAAGCAGGTGTTTTCCAGGGTGGCACGGTGGGGTTATAGCGTATGTGGAAGCTACTTTCAACAGGGGGATCAAGGCAGGGGATTTGAAACTGTACAGTTTGTGTGAAAAGTGAATTTTTTTTTTTTAAAAAAGCGGTCACAAGCAAAATTATCGTTTCCTTTACGACAAATGGATGTATGACATGAGTTGTCCAGCTGCTTACCACACCTTCTTGGGAATGGATGTGAACTGGGCTCCTTCTGGAACACAGCATGGCACAGAGGCCTACAGCAAACTCCACTGTGCATCTGCAGGCCCAGTCTCCCTTCCCACAGTTCTCAGAGTAGCCATTACCCTTGAGCTAACATTTGCCTGTGGGGAAGTTATTCTCAGGGGCCCTTGTTTCCTTTTCCTGTCTTCTAGGTCAGGGACTTGCTGAACCTGAGCTCAGAGATGCAATTGTACCATCATCATCACCACCACCACCACCACCACCACCATCCTTATTTATTCATTTTTCCCTTTGAAGTATTCAACTTTACCCTTTGAACTTCAAAGGGCTCTATGGCAACTCGAGTCCAAGGAAAGGATGGGGGGGGGGAGGAGGAGGGAGTGGGAGGGGGAGGAGGAGGGAGGGAGGGAGGGAGGGAGGGAGAGAGAGAGAGAGAGAGAGAGAGAGAGAGAGAGAGAGAGAGAGAGAGCGCTCCGTGCAGTCTCAATGCATGTTTGTGCTGGCTGTCAAGCAGAAGGAAGGCACAGATGGGTCCCAACGTGGATACAATGTAGACCACGATAACCCGGGGGCACTAATAGTCAATGGCGTCATGGAAGGGTCAGATATTTTCACAGATCACATCTGAACGGTTTAACAACCCTGCAGTTTGGCAGATGAGGACACCTGTCAAATTATGACTAGGGACCCTTGGCTGAATCCCATCACCGATAATAAAAGAGTCCGATGCCACTCTGGGCTTCCTGACGCTAGATCCACTGGTATGTGGTTTTGCTCGTTAGAGTGTACTTTGTAACAGTATAGTAGAACTTGTATCTCCCAGAATCATGGACACAGGAGAGCTGTTATAGGCTGGGGTCAGTCTACCCCTTTCTAGAAACCTGTCAGGTACCTTGCCGTACATGTCATGGGTAGCCAGTGTGAGTCCTAAACTGGAGGATACAAATTCATAGGCCTCTGTACTTTGCACAGAATTCAAAACAACTCATGCCCTGACTCCCATGAGGCCCGTGCAAGACAGAGGTTTGGGGTCTGGGCGGAGTGCACCAGGCGGAAGACAGAAGAAGGTGATTTTTCAACATGTTTTGCTTGTGGGGAGAGACATACAGTTACCTCTCTCAAAAGAATTCTTGATATCGTTCACTTCCACCTGGGAACCAGACACTCTGAAAATCCCCTGATGCTGAAGGCCTACGGGCAACAGAACATAGAGCGTGAGCAACCCGCCTTGCATACTACAGATCTGTTTTTTTTTTTTATCCAAGCAAAAAGACACCCCCCCCCCCAAACCCCACTGCTTGCATTTAAATAAGGATTCTATGGTGATGAGTGCTTACCATAGAGGTTAATGAATCGGATGCAGCTTTCCACAATGAGAGGGATAACCTGGCCCGATTCCTGGGGAGAGAGATGGAAACCAGAGAAGGCTGGGTCACAAGAAGAAAACACCTCCATAAAGAGTTAACAGCATCAAAAAGAGTGGGAAATGTTATACATCTAAACGAAGGTGTATTTTAGTTCTGAAGCAAGCTAAATTAAATACATTTACCCTGAGAAGGCTCCAGGCTGGCTTGCTAAGCCTAGAGACGTGAAGAGGCTAATTCCTATTGGGACTTGTGGCTACAATTCCCGCAGCCAGGAGGCTAGTAGAATGGATACATTGTAGCACCTCTGCCTTGGACAAGAGCAACAAAACCCAAACCTAACTTACTTGTTTTCCTTTAGCTAAAACTAAAACCTAACTTCTTGTTTTCCTTTAACTTATGCGCTGAAACCAGTAACTCACTTTGAGAGGTTATCTCTCAAGGCGATGGGTGTGAAGCGAGTTTCAGTAGCATCTTCTACCTGGTTAGCTATTGATTCTTAGTATGCTCCCTGAGATTCCGCCACCTAGATGGTGGTAGTCCCAAACTGTCTCCTGGGTAATAAAAGTGCATTATGTATTTACTTAGTCTGCATCAGAACTTACTTCTCCTTATAAAACTTAGCCCGTCTTTAAGATGAAGACGAGGAAGACTGCTCTGGCCTTCTTGGTCTACACCTTGCAAAAATGCTCACCACCCTTTACAAAAAAAATAAAACAAAACAAAAACACTGGAGGTGCTTTGGAAACCATGGGTGTAGAATGACTCATGAGATGGAGAGGCCTCAGAGACCAGTTAAACATGGACTGATGGCATGCACCATGAGTTAAAAAAGAATTACTGGGGATGGTGTTGATTGACATGTACTTTTAAGACTGATCTTTTAGGAATTAGATTTTTCCAGGAAACACGCAACTTGAAAGGGGATTAGCTGGCATCGAGCACACACCCTTGAGGAATTTTATCCCGAAATGTTAAGAACTTGATCTTAACATGGTAGGACAATTAGGGACTCGTTAACTTTTCCAGTCCAGATGGGAAGGAAGGAGTGGGAATGATGTATCTCCATAGATGTCTTCACTGTCTCCTGAGCGGGCAGTGGACTTCTTAAGATAGAGGTTTATTTTTCAAGCTTTACGGCAATCAGTGTATAAACCGCTTAATGTTTCAATTACTTCTGGAGGTTGTATTAGGTTTCTCTAATTAGTTAATTTGTTTTAGGGACATACATTGTATTAATTCCTTAAAGAGGAGCCTTAAAAAAAAAACAACCCTAAAATGTATTTTAGTGAAGGCTAGTTGGCGCATGACCAGTGGTATAATTACACCAAAAGTTTACTGAACACTCAAAGGGATCTCTTTCTGTAAGACACAAGCATGGTTTAATGGAAGTAACGTTTTATAAACAATTTATGTCACAGTGTAATTTAAAAGAGCAACAAATACTTGAGTGTGAGCGATGAAAGTGGAGAGTTAGTTTACATCTCTGCTGGACTGAGCATAAAGACGGAGAATGAGAGAGCAGAAGAAAACTGTTTGCATTCAGAAAGTTCTGAACAGAGCATTACATTTTCATGGTATTAAATTAAACATTCTCCTCTTGACATTCACTTAGTTGGCTGCTAATCTATTAAAAAGATTAGCACTCCATTTAGATACAGTACGTTTTGTAGTAAAAATGTAACGAGCATTTTAATTTAAATTCATGGATGCCAGATGTTGGGGTAGAAAATATTTTATAAGGAGTGAAAATTATGGGCTGTCTTCCAGCCACCACCATTCCAACATCTCTCTGTGTCTCTGTTTCCCTATGGGAAGGTGGTTTTGCTCTTGCTATTTTGTGGTGCAATTTGCAAGAGCTCAGAAGCACATTTCAGAGATGCAGAGAGAGAGAGAGAGAGAGAGAGAGACGTCTGTATCCCTGGGTTCTGGGCTACCAAAGCCTCTTCAGTGTTCCATCTGTATGGCTAGCATAACAGATTTTCCACAATAACTACCTTAGTCTTCCTTTAGTTAGTCAATTTGCTTGACTTTCACTGTTAGCTTTTAGTGAAGAGGGTTTTTTTTGTTTTTTTTCGAGACAGGATTTCGCTGTATAGCCTTGGCTATCCTGGAACTCACTCTGTAGACCAGGCTGGCCTCAAACTCAGAAATCCACCTGCCTCTGCCTCCCAAGTGCTGGGATTAAAGGCGTGTGCCACCACCACCCGGCGTTAAGAGTTTTCAAAATCTCATAAGTGCATCGTCTTAGGCAACTGTTCCCACACCATACCAGCAAAGGGAAGGAGACAGTCCATCTGCCTCTGGCTTTCCTGCCTTCTCCCTCCCTGCCAGGCCCTCAGTGGCCCATCTCTCTGCCTTCATTATCTCCCTCATTCTGTCTAACTAGCTCCTGCCTAGCTGTGGGCTGGGACACTAGATAGTCAAGTCAAATTTGACAATAATGTTATATTAGAGTCAATAGGGGCTTAAGGCTCCAGGCAATGGCTTTGTGATTGCTGTCTAGGTTGTCCAGTGTCTTTTCATTTAATGTCGGGGTTAGGGCCTCTTTTAAGCCTCCTGGAGGCTTCTAATTTCTCTTCTGTATGCATATATACATGAATGTATTCAAGGGTCATGTACGTGGCACACACGCACACACATGGTAATGTGAGCCTTCTGACCATTAGTTCACGGGTTTAACGGATAGATCTATCTTTAAAGACGGTAATATATCTGTGATGTACAATCCATGGACCTCATAAAATATTTAAAATGTGTCTTTTCTACTATAGCCAGTCTTCAAAGCTACTGTAGGCCATCTCATGAAATGTTATCTCTAATGGGAAAGTCTCTTTTTCATGTGATTTACATCAGAATCCATAATTGCATATTAGATATGCATTTGGCGTCTAACACTGACTTTTCCTAACTCAGATCGGATACATTTGCCAAACGCAGCAGGTTAAAAACCTGATGTATCCCCTTTTATTGGTGAGAATCGTTATCTCTTCAATAAGTGTCCGATTCCCACAGGTTTTTTTTCTTCTTCAAGTAAAGCCTATTTATAAGCTGTCTAATTTCCAACTGCAAACATTTTTCTTTTCAAGAGCTTCAAAACTCTAGTGAAAGCCAAGCATGGGAGAGGTTGGCGGGCGATGGCAGCATGGAGAGACCCTCACTTCCGTTCCGCACGATACCTGATGTCTGGCGTGGGAGTTCCTTCGTCCCCGGCTAGAAGCATTATCAGAAATACAGGATGAGAAAGAAGACAGAGAGTAAACACGGCAGAGATACAAGATACAGACTTCAGGGCTGTACAAAATTTATCCAATATAATGAATTCCTTAAGTCATGAGAGTGTGGCTAAACACGGGTATACACCGTGTATCTCATCTTGTTTATCTTTTCTGTTTCCTATAATTGTTGGCTTGGAAACAGCAAAGAGTATTCTTTCTTTTGCCATAGGATAACATCCACGTTCATTTATTTTCTTCAGAAGGTTCTCAATCCCAATATTCTTCCCCCCTCTGACTTCAGGAAATATTATATTGATTTTTCTGGGGGAAGCAGAGAGCCCCAGGATAGACTCGGACATAATGACCTGCCTCCTTCACAGGAGGCTGAGGCCATTATAGTGAGAAGCATGGAGATCAGCCACCAGGTGGGGGCTGGTGCAGTACCTTGACGAATGTCTCCAAATCCCCATTAAACAACTTAGCATTATACTGGGAGCGGGGTCTGGACTTCCTGTGTTTCTGGGGCTTAGGGGGGACGTTTGGAGGCCTAAGGGAAGGGAACATAATTACTGAGCATGGCAGAAATCAGACAATGGATGAAACATCCTTAGATCATACCAAAATAACAAATCCAGGGGATCCTGGGTTCCTTCCCCACCCCCACCCAGGAGCAAACACCCCTACCCTTCTCCAATCCACTTCTATTTGTACATCAAGAGCACAGGAGTCGTTCGTTCAGACTATGGTGTTTCTACCTGCTGGAACTGGTATTTCTGTTTTTTATACCTTCTTTAAGAAAATGGTAAGCATCATGAATGGCTATTCTGAGCTATCTAGCGAAAAGTGGTAAAGCCAGGTCTCTGTTTGGTTTAGGAATTACACACCAAGGCGCAAATGTAAAAGGGCACCGAGAGATTTCCAGATGAGAAATTAAAAATATTTTTGGTTCAATCCCAATTCCTCGATGCAGGTAGCATCGCACCTGCTCAGTATTCCTTATGCAGTCATGGGATTTTATTTTGTGTACGTATTCTTATTAACAGATCACCTCTGAGGAAATTAGGGGTTGGTGTCAATATGGTTTCTTGCTGTGGGAGCGGGGACATACATGAGCTACTGTTCCTGTTGAATGCATGATGCCCTCATTCACATATCTCTAGGACAGTAGGTCACACCCTTTGTGTTGTTCTGAGCTTTCCTGCCTGTTTGCATTGGTGGATAAGCTGGTCTTTCAGGCATATACATAGCCAGTGTGTCGTGTCTGGAAAACCCTGCACCAATCAACTTGCAACATTATCAGAGTGAGGTGGCCTCTTCTCTTTTCCCTTAGAGAAGAGGAAGGACCAAGATAGACCAGACTTAGTTTCTGCATCTGTGCTGGTTAACCTCTGCTAAACAGACAGAAGGACTGTCTTGCCTAGAGACTGTGTAAGCTCTTCGTGAAGCTGGATTCTTTAGATGAATGACCTTTGAAGTTCAACGGACTCAAATTCACAAAGTCCAGTTTAAAAACAAAATCCCAAGAATTTATGGGAAACCCGGAAGGGCTGATTAGATATTAGCGCTGCAATCAGCATGTCTATGAGAGAACAAACCAGCGGATACAGCCTTTCGTGGCTACATTCTCAGAATCTCCCAGCAGGTGGTTTGTGACTAATGGGGTATAGAGCCAGCAGCACCCGAAGTCCTGTGGTGCCTGGGACTTAAAAGGAGCTTTTACAAATACACAGAAATGTGTGGAGACCTCTCCTAGGCAGCACGCCTTGTCCTTCCCCAGTTAATATTTCTGAACTATTTTTATACCCTAAATTCCACGCTGCGCACGAAGGAAGGGATGCGCCAGGTGTGAAGGACTTGGGCAACGAGCTGCCAAAAGTTTCGTCGGATTTACTTGATACCGTCAAGTTTTCATTATCGTATCCATGTTTTCTACCGCAGATTTTAGTATCAAGGGGCGACTGCCCGTGAAGAGACAGCGCTTCGTTATAGCACTCAAAGGCACGGGTGTGCTCTGGCACTCGGCCTCGGAGTGGGTGGGAACTGCGGACAGCTCAAAGGCTGGTCAGGAGATGAGGAGGGAGGAGAAGGTGAAAAGCGCTCTTTACTGTGGCTTTCGTGGGAAGGAACAGGAAGAGCGTGGAGAGCAACCACCGAATTGTAGAGTTTGGCTGACCTGAGTAGCTTCTGCAGCAAGGAAGAGGTTCTGGTTGTCTGGTACCTGGCGGTGGGGTGTCCAGGCACGCGGACATATAGCCCCACCCCCACCCCGTGAAAGACCCAATCAGAGCAGGCTCCGGATTAGCTAATCTGCATGTTGAAAGTTCTACTGGGAAGGCCGGTCTGGCTAACTGTCATAGATGGTCCCTCCAGGATGAACAAAGCCCCAGTGCATCAGAGCATCTGATATAGAAACCAGAAGGCCCCACTGTTAAAGACCTTCACCTGCTCCTTGTCTCAAACAGAACACAGCCGCAAACGCTCGAAATCTTGCTATAGTCAGCTCCTATGGTGTCTGGCTGGTGTGCCAATGACACCATAGAGAAACAAAAGTCGTCATAAACGTTCTCCAACTCAAATCAGAGTCTGCTTCCAAACATCCCAGCAAGAAGCTTTACAGTCCTTCTTGAGTGGGTGCAGGGGTGAGGGGTAGGAGGATCTGCCATAGGTGGTTTGTGTTAGAAGTTACATTTTAGAATCAGATACAAAAGTGGGTAGAGATCTAAGGTCCCCCAAATTTCAATATATCTAATTTTCAGGTAGCATAAAATGTAGCAGGAGCTGGAAGTAGGGGATTGTTACTACTTACTACGGCACTTGGTACACACATCTATTTCTTGCTAACTAAATTATCATGTCCAAAGTGGTGTCAATCTATTAAAAAAATAATGTATTTGGGATTAGATAAATTAAGCCTGCTCTCTAGGGTACAACTGCTTACCAAGGAGCTTTCTGACTCCATAGAAGACAACCTTAGTTATGCCAGAGCACTTGTCTGAGGACCCCAAGCATTTCAAGGTGCTAAGCTTCGTCATGCCCAGACTATCTGCTACAGTCGTTAACTGCTCTCGTTAAGAAGAAGAAGAAGAGAGTGAGGCAGACCACAGAGTATGATAAAGCATCTTCCTACCTGGTAGTCATATATTCAGCTCTATGACCTGCCAAAAAAAAGAAAACAGAATAAGTAAACCAGGCGGATTCAGGGGATTGGAGTCGATCATCCGTGATCATCTGTTACCTCAGGATGGCGAGTTAATAGTTCTAGATCTTGCGGTAGAGAAGATGTGATAACGAAATAATTCAAAGTTATTATTGTCACAAAACCTCAGTCTGAACTATAACAAATCCTACAGGGTAGAGAATTTCACATTGCATTTGGCAATTTGAGGCAGTTTTGTTTTTTAAAAACACAAGATAGCTGCTAGACCATCAAACTCCAACATGAAATACACGGAGAGCCTATCTAAAAGGTTCCTGCTAGTTATTTGCTGTTTTGATTGACAGGAAAGCAAATAGGGTGGGGTGAACTCAGTTTCCCTTTGACTAAGTTGATATTCTTTCTGTGGTATGAAACCAGGGCACTGGGAGAGAAGGGTGTTCCCTAATCTGTACTGACACAGACAATAACGTACAAGCACATTAAATGATACTACATTTTACCACCTTGTAAGCTAAGAGCCTTTCAGAGTTCTGCCATCGAAGCCACCAGCTGCTTCTCATGCACACATATGGCTTTCTTCTTCTTGTAAATAACAGGACTGAACTGTTCTAGAATGCTCACGGCCTGCATTCATTTCATGTTTGCAAGCGTCTGCAGTGGCTGTCTGCTCTTTATGCATTCAGGGGCAGAGGGGTAAGGGGTGGGTAGGTGGAACCATTCAGCCGAGGACACAGTCCTGAAGGAGTCTGAAGCTTCAGCTGGCTGAGAAAGGCCAGGTTGTAGCACAAACAGGTGAGCCCCGCCCATCACACGACACCGTGACTCAGACCCAGACGACAAGGCCCAGTGGACAACTAGCTGGTACTAGTTGTTTGAATACTGCTAGACCACAGCTGATCCTCCACTCAAAAATTCACTCTTGAATAAGAAGTAGCCACGAGATACCTGATATGTGTTGATTAAACAGGGGACAACAGATTTGTATCAGGGGACATCATTCTTCACACGGACCTGAGCAAGTGCTGTCAAGATCAGTTCCCAGCAGAGCTCGAGTGAGCTGAGTGTGGTATGTGGTACCTTGTGGGTATCCCAATGGAGATGTCTGTGGGAAACTGGGCTAGACTGGATTCAGTCAGAGGGAAGACAAGGCTCAGAGTCTCTATCACTTTGGTTGTGCTGTGGTTGAGCCACAGGAGCTGGCTGAGCCCACCCCGGGTGAATCAGTGTGACGAGCAAAGGATTGAAGGTACAGACTCTGTCTTGCTTTTCTGTATCGGTCACGTTATCTGCTTAATTAAGACATCAGTGTGATGTATTAGTCAGAACAGATCAGACATTATTTGAATAAATATCCTAAGCATGAAGTAAGCATAAGTTCTGTCCAGTGTTAGCATTGTATGCTTACTAACTTTGAGAAAGAGTGGTACTTAGTAACCTGGGTATGCAGGCTGGCCTAGAACTCCTGAACTTCCTGCTTTTGCCCCCTTGGGGGCAGTATTTGTATGGCACCACCACACCAACCTAAGCCCTTTATATTAAATATGTTAACTCACAATTTTCATAATTTTTTAAAAAAATTACTTTATATATATATATAAATGAGTACACTGTCGCTGTCTTCAAACACACCAGAAGAGGACATCAAATCCCATTACAGATGGTTGTGAGCCACCATATGGTTGCTGGGAATTGAACTCAGGACCTTTGGAAGAGCAGTCAGTGTTCTTAATCACTGAGCCATCTCTCCAGTCCCTTATAACAGCATTTATGAGGTAGCTTCTATTATTATTACTTGTTTTGAGAACATGACCCGTCCGAGGTCGTGTTAGTATCCTGTGGGCCTGACAGTAGGGTTGAGGTTCATTTTAGTGACAGATCTGAAATCCCAAATATTGTACTATAGTACCTTCAAAAATGGCGGCTGGGGTAGGGGATGTAGCTCATTGGTAGAGCACTTGCTGAGTGGTCAAGAGGCTGAGAGTTCAATCCTCATCACCAATACACACACACAGACACACACACAGACACACACAGACACACACACAGACACACACAGACACATACACAGATACAGACATACACACACAGATACAGACACACACACAGACACACACACAAACACACACACAGATACACATACACAGACACACAGACACACACAGACATACACACACACATACACACACACACACAGACACACACACACACACACTAAACGCTAAGTTTTTGGGTAGGGGAGGTGGTTTAGTTGATAACACATCTGCCATGGAAGCAATAGAGCTTGAGTTCAGATCCCAACACCCGTATAAAAGTGAGTACCATGGCACGTATCTCTAACCCCAGGACTAGGTAGGGTAGGGACAGGTAGCTCTCTGACGGTCCCTGGCTGGCCAGCCTAGCGACTTAGTGAGCCCCTTACTTCAGTGAGTGCTCCTGTCTCAAAAGCACGGTGTGGCGTGATCCAAGAATGATCTTGTGTGCTGACTTCTGAGGCCTCCACAGGCATGTGGGCCGGCATGCGTGGACACCGGCACATACATTGGACACATGCACATGAAAACAGGTGTACTACACGCTCAAACCTAACTTTTGTTTTCCCTTTGGCAAGCCCTTGTGAACAATCTTAGAAGAGAGGAATGGATCCCAGTATGTACTTCTATCGGCCTAAGGAGGCTAAAATAAAATACAAATTAATAAAAGATGTAACTGAAAACCAAAATTACACAGATATGTGAGAATGCAAATTAATATACATTTAAGTTGGAGAACACGGCCTAATCACTTTTATGTGGTTTGATGCTAGAGAAACGGGTGATTAGTAAAACACCTTAGGACCTGGAAATTTTGCTAGTTTTGCTCAGATATCCCAACTAGTCATTTCCTAAATCGAGAACAAGATAAACTGGTTTCTACCACTTTGCTTTCATTGATGGTTAATAGAATGAGATTTAAAAAAAAAGGACAAACCAACCTATACAAGATACATCTTGAATAATGAGCTAGAGCCACTGTTAGCTTACAATCCTCAGTGCGTCTCGGTTGATGAATGAGGTTTTATTTTTTAATCAGTATCGTCATTAATAGATCAATAACACACAAGCAAGGAAGACTCACCATCCAAAAGAAATATAGATATGTCCAGTGGTCTGAGGATTAGGTTTCAATCACTTTCTCTGGAAGCTTATTTAATTATTAAAAAGTAAGAAACCCCCACCCCCACCCCATATAAACCACTTGGAGAGGAAAAAAGAATCCAGGATTATTATTATTATTTTGTAAAAACAACTCCTTGGACTATTTTTTCGGGCATCAGGGGTTGTTGCTGAGATAGGATCAGCCTTGCTCAGTGTCTCAGGATCACTGTCCATCCTCCTGCCTCTGCCTTCCAAGTGCACCTTGGGATAAGTGGCTACTTTGGTTTCCCTTCCATTTGACCTCAGAATTGTGACATGAATTACTTTTCGCATTTAAATGCAGGTTATTTAAAAATGAAGGCTGCGGACAACTTGAGGTAAGGGGGAGAAGGTAGAGAATAATATTTAAAATACATCCAGCTTGAACTGGACAGAGATGCCTTTGAATGGTCCCCCAATGGGGACCGATAAAAGGTTGGTGGCAATACTTTCCAGCCCTTTTCCTTTTTGTACACCATAGACGACTGTGGTGCTTTTGTAAAAAAAGACATAATTATCCACAATCCGATTATCTTTTGAAAGAATATTTGTACTCCTACTCAAAGACAGACAATGGGTTATTCCAAGATAATGTACTTAATTCCTTTGTCAAAAAAACGTTATGCCTGGGACAAGAAACAATGTAACAGAGAGCTTGGCTCCCACTGGCACATTTTTCTGTGTAGCGAAATTGTACAGACATTTCCACCCTCTTACTTCCAAATACCTCACACAAAGAACCTGATATGAACAGGAAGGCTCGTTAATAGATTGAAAAAAAAAGAAAACAAACAAACAAAAAACCGGTGTCCCAGTTTTATCACCATATATCTCATTTACTGTGGTCGATTTAACTTCCATTAAAAAAAAATGATATCCCTAAAGACCGAGCAGCCTTGTTGGGATGAGAAAGAAGAGGGTGACTTTCAGAGCCCATGTGTCTCTTTCTATTTTGGTACCTTTTAAAGCCTCGGGATTCTGAGTTGAGAGGATGCCGCTTTAAGAGTCTGATCCAGTTGCTTCGCTGAGTTGTAAATCAGAGAACTGACAGGGCCTACTGGTAGCCTGCCAAGAATGGGCAGCAAGGCGGGCCAAACACATGTCTGTAGTTAGAGTTTCATCTGTGGACGATCAACTGCTAAATCCCTGGGCTAGGCTTTGTTTGTTTTACTCTGAAGGCAGCTTTTTCAGCATTAGGTCTGGGAGAATTCAGAGGTATTCCTATCCGAAATGTCAAGCCTGTCCCCAAACCACCACTTACCCCTGGACTGCTAACCAACCTTATTTAACCAGATGGGACTTGGATCCCTTCCTAAGAGCTCACCATTGGACTGTTTTTCCATGGGACAGGCGCCATGAACCTGGTTAAAAGTCTCCTCTGTTGTAAGCCTACGAACACTGAACAGGGCTCTCGTGGAGAGCCAGCAGGCTTACAAGGGGTGAACGTTTTAAAAGTGGGGTGTGTCTCTCATGCTCAGCTTTTCTTGGAGAGTTAAAAACCAGCAGCAGTGAGTGGCCAGCAGCTGATGAACTGTTAAGCTGCCAGAAGTTACTGCATTAAGACCAGCAGAGGTCGGTACCCAAGTCTCTGCCTGCTATTCGGACAAACCACGCAGGTCCCGTCCACAGACTTAACTGAGTGTAACGAAGCTATGTCAGGGACACTGGAGCTCGCTGAAAGAAATTCCAAGACAAAGGAATCCTGGCTTGGTGTTGACAAGGTGTGATGACTTTACACAGCGTGGCTAAGGACAGCCTTTGGCAAGTGGTCTCGGCCTAGAGGCCAAAATGTAGCCCGATCCAAGAATGACATGGAGAATAACATTAACCAGTGTGGCTTTTCTCTCTAGGAGACATAAAAGAATGTATGCTGAATGACTACCACAAAAGCTCCAGAATGTGGTGGCTCTAAGCCACATGAACGCTTGCCTGCTGACAGTGCCAGGGGTGAGCGCACCCCATGGCTCAGAGGCCCCAGTCTCACTATGTCCACAGTGGCTCTCAGTCTCGGAGGGAGGACTTTTGTGTCTGAAAGTATTTAAAACATGTCACCACATTGAGGAGAAGTTATGCTCTGGGGCAGCAAGGGACCTCGAGAGCGTTGTTCCAAATATTAGACACTTGCAAAAAAAAAAAATGGGAAGAAAAAAGGGAATTTATTATGAGAAAAATGGGGGGGGGGTCTACAACATGATTATTTAAGAAAACTAATCAAAGATAAAAAGCCTTAACAATAAAGTTTAAATCTACAGAAGGGCTCAAAGAATACTACAAGAAGTATCCTGATCATCTTTACTGAGATTTCATAATTGTCTGTCTGTCTGTCTGTCTGTCTGTCCTTTTGAAAATCCTGAGCCATGCCACTGGGAAGTAAGCTCTAGACATGGTGGCACTCCAGCAAGCTTTTTTTTTTCTTTTTTTCCTTTTAAATTTAGGAATAAGGACATTCTTCTTTATAACCGCAGTATCATTATAACACAGAGGAAAATTAAATCAATAATATTTAACCTATAGATTATATCTATTTTCTATTATGCTTAAAATGGCCTTCATAAGTTCTGCCTTTTGATTCAGATTTTAGTTAAAGTTGACACACTGCATTTTTTTCCCCTGGGTGCTTTTTAACATTTAAACCCCTCCCTTTTTTTTTTTTCCTTAGGCACAACTGTCTTTCAGCTTGGAGCCTGGGGAACCCAAGGTCATGCAAGACAACTTCCTGCCTTGCAGACATTCTCTACGGATGAGGAGTTCTCTGGAGAAAACCATAAGGTAAGGTGGTGGGTATATTGCTTTATAGGCAAGAAAGGTTCTAGAATGGTGGGTAGCAAGAACTTAGGCATAAGATGGATCTCTTAAAAAAAAAGGATTTATTTATTTATTTTTATTTTATCTGCATGAGTGTGCTGCTTCCATGTAGGTGAGTCTGTCTGTCTCTTTCCCTACCCCCTCCGTGTGTGTGTGTGTGTGTGTGTGTGTGTGTGTGTGTGTGTGTGTATGTGTGTGTATTTCCTAAAAAGGCCAGAAGAGGGCATCAGATTCCCAGGAATCCAACTCAGATCCCAGCAAGTATTTATAATGGCCGAGCTACCTTACCGGCTCTGGGAGTCTCTTTTGAATTCAGCCATTCACACTCGACCCAGTCCTCCCATTCCCCACCCCATTCTATGATGTTCTCTTCCATTTCTTACAATGCCCAGCAGGATCTAATATGAACAGAAAACCCAAGCTTTAGACCTTGAGTCCCTAAAGGCCAGGGCTTTGCCTACGTGTATTCATTTTTCCTTTTATATTTCTATGAAGACAGAGAAGAGAAGCAATGATGTCTGTGTAGCTCCTTCTGTTTGCAGTGCTCCCCACTCCTGTCTCCTCACTTGGGAAGCTGAGGAGACTAGCATGATCCAGTTGAGAATATAGTTCAGAACAACACACGGCTCTGAGAATGCTTTGTTAGTATTTGGTGCTATTGTTTCTGTTATACATATTCCATCAGATCGTATCTTAACTATCAACAATACTTAATGAAAAAAAAGAAGATTGCTCAGACTGGACAAACTGGTTTCAAGAATCCTAAAAATTAACAGATGGGACAGGCAGCAGTCCATTCAATGGACAGGGTGAGATTAGAGCACAAAGAGACCCAAGGCAGAGGCAGCAAAGACTGTGGTGAGTACTTGTGGGTCTCTCCCCAAAGGGACCTCCTCTCCTGAGCCACTCCTCTTCCATGGCTTTACCTCCCAGATTAAAATGGCTTCAGTGCAAACACAATCATCGGGGAACACGGATCAACTGAGATCTTAACATAGGACAGCATCGTTGATTTCCAGGGCTGCACACTCACACAGACATACTTCACGCTCTTCATAGAACACCCATGGTACGGCACACAGGCCAAACCGTTTCCCCATTTGCCCTTGGTACCGCACCTTCTCCAAGAGTCCTCTGCAGCAAGTCGTGCTTAGCCTGAAGCTTTGTGATGAGATTACTGCCTTCCAAGAACTCTCGAAGTTTCTGCAAAAAGGCAAGGCAGAAACTTAAAACCTCCCAGTGTCAAGGAACTTCCCAAGGGGGACATTAAGACTCTCTGCTTCATCTTTCTGGCTCCTAGAATCCTGTACTCAAAGTGTAATCTCCAGTCTAGCAGACTCAGCCTTCTCTTGAGAGCCTGTTGGAAATGCAGGCTCAGGACTCCTCCTCCCCAGTCCTGTTGAAACAGGCTCCATTTTAGCAAACTCCCCTGTGGTGCGCACCCACATCGAAGCAGACAGAGCATGGACTTGGGGTGGGGGGTGGGGGAGAAGGGATTGGTGTACGCAGCCTCGAGGGCTGAGTTCAGGGTGTGCCAGTAACCCTAGCACTAGGGTGGGGTTGGAAACAGGAAGACCCTGGGCGCTCACTGTTTCAGAGAGAAATCTGTCTCAAAACTAAGATGGTGGATCCACCCAATAAGACATCTTCACTGTGCTGTAGCTCACCTCCCCCCAGCCTGTTTTAGAGAGGTCCTAACTCCTAACCTCTACCCAGACTGGCTGAATAGGGAACTTTTGAGGATGCTCAGGTGACCATATTTTAAAATCAAGGCCTCCAGAAAGACTCTGGCATCATTAACTATATAGAAATGCCGGGCAAGCATAGTCCCAGGCTCTGTCAAGAGGCTGGGGAGCAGGGAGTGGGCGCACCATGAAGTAGAACTGCTCAGTTTCTTGCTGGTTAGCTCGTCTCTTGGCGATGCTGGGTTTACTCAGGTAGGTTTCGGACACAGTGGACTTCACAGACTCTGTGGATCGGCTGTGTTGGAAGCACTCAGACACGTCGTAGTCCTCAATTGTGACCATATCTTGGATCGTCTGGAGGGTGGCTTCTGTTGTTTTCTTGACCTGGGAACAGAAATACATTTCTCTTATTAGCATATTGTCCTGTGAACCCTATACTACCCCATGAGGGTCGGTCTGCTAGGGAGAGATTACTTAGGAGTGAGGTAGGTAGGGGAAGACAGCCAGGCCAACCAGACTTCAGATCACCCATCTGTCCTCCTGCACATCTCAATGGAGACTGTCAATTTCATTTCTACTTACTCTTACCTTTGAAATAAAGACAAACCTACAAACAGAAAACAAATACACAGAGCATACGTGTTGGAGATTGATTCTAATGCTTTGGTCCAATCAGGAATCTGCATGTCCGAATACTAAAGGTCCTTGTCTCAAATTGGTTTTTGATCCATCAATAAAGATGCCAGTGGCCGATACCTGGGCAAAGGGAGACGGGGCGGGACCCTTAGAGTTGTGCGGGCTAGAATGCAGTGGGGAGGAAAAAGGAATCACCATGACTGGGGGGAGAGATATGGAGGGACACAGAAGCTGCTGGAGAGAAAGTTCATGAGCCATGTGAGAATTTGGTAAGTGACCACTGGCCACTTCCACAATTGGGCCTAGGGTAGCAGGGAAAGGTTAGGAGTGTCCAGTCTTTGAACCAGCCAAAGCATTTAAAAATAAGCTTGTGTGTGTGTGTGTGTGTGTGTGTGTGTATGTGTGTGTGTATATGTGCCTTTCATTCAAGGATCCAAAGATAGCTCCTGGGCCAGTGGCTGGAAGCTGTGACCGACCAGGAACACAGAGCAGTGTAGCCCAAACTCAACACTACACATAAGTATACAGCCCGGTGAATATTTTCAATGTGAACATGCCTAGGTAAACACCTCCCCGACCAAAAGTGTATATTATCAATATTCTCACCATCCTTCCAATAACCCCCACGCTTTTCTTCCTCTCGGTATCCACTGACCTCCCCTCACTTCCTTTCATTTCTCCTTATTTGGTACCAAAGCTAGGAACTTACATATGCTAAGGGCAAACATTCTAGTAGGAAGCTACACACCCATCTCTCCTCACCACCCGCTTTCTAACATGTTAGTGGCATTTTATAGAAATAGTACAGAATATATTTTAAATCTGATTCCTCTTGCTCAGGGTCAGGGAGGTTCATTTCTTGTGAATATCGTTATTTCATTGCTTGATATTTATTGCAAGGACAAATCATGATTCACCCTGTGATTGATAGATGAGTATTTTTTAGTTTTGTCTTTTATGACTTTTATGAATTATAGTACAATTAATACATTTGGAGAGGGCACATGTACATGGACACAATTGCTGTATATGGAAAATGCCAGACTGTTCTCCAAAACGATGCTATTTACATTCCCGTCAGCATGGTGGAGAATTACCGTTACTCTACATCCTTGTCGATGGTTGGCACTGTCCCTCCTTTCAATTTAAGCCACCGTGCTGGTGTGCAGTGGTCTCACGTGGTTTCTGTAGGGTTTCTCCCACTGTATGAGCTTGAGGTGAAAGGCAGCCTGGATCCCTCCTTTGGGAATACTATGTTGAAACCTGTCAATCAATGTTCTACCGGGCTATGAGTGTTGTGATTCATGTTAGCAATTATTTTCCCGCTCTCAGCTTCACTTTTCACTGATTCATTGAAGATAGATGAATGCACCTCCTGCTTTTAGTTTTATATTTTAGTGTGTGAGTGTGTGTGTGTGTGTGTGTGTGTGTGTGTGCTCGCATGCAACAACATTCGACTGTAGGTCGGAGGACCACTTTGTGCAGTAAATTTCTCCTTCCATTTTTATATCTCAGGTCGCCAGGGTTCCGTGGGAAGCATTTTTATTATATGTTCAATATTCATTGTGGTCTGTCCATGTAGCTATTAGATTCTTTGATCTCTGTTCTCTATATTTTAAAAGTTACCACTGGGACTTCTTTTTAGTTGAGTCTATTTCATCCACCTGAGAATTTTTAATCTGCACTCATGAAAGATACTTTCCTGCTTGACAGATTTTTTACTGAGATGGATTCCTGCATTTTTCCTGTAGCTTCCATATTCCTGCTGAGTAAAAATTTTACTTTGAATCACATCTTTTCTTTTTCTCCATCTTCTTTTAAAGCTTTCTAGTCATCCTTGGGTTCTATAGTTTCACAATATGTCTAGGCATTGATACATACATACACACACACACATAATACATGTTTCACGTATGTGCCTGTGAATGCGTATGTGTTACAGTTAGAGTGTGGAACTCAGAAGACAACTTGGGAGAGGGTGTTCTCTCTTTCCTCCATGCAGGTCCCAGCGATCAGGCTGCTGGGCTTCAGTAGCAATGAGCACAGGTTGTAAGCACAGACTGCTTGGGGCTTGCTTCTGAGCCTTGAGAGATTGGTTCACGGTCTGGCCCTTCTTCTTACCTCTGAAGCTACTACTGCTTCTGTTTCTGAAATGTTCTTTCCAAGAGCCTCGCTACGACAGCACACTTCCCTGTGTGCTCTTTGTCTCTTCATTCCTCTCCTCTCTTCTGCACTTTCTATTCTTTTGCTTCTACGTTGATCATTTTTCTACCTCCATCCCCGCCCCCCATTTATCCCTTCTGGCCACGCACTCCTCAGCCTCGTCTAGTCTGCAAACCGCTGACGTTGGGATTGTTTTTTGGTTTTTGTTTGTTTGTTTTTTTCTGTCATTCTTAGTTCTCCAGTTGCCTTGCGGTTATGTACCAATCTTTTGAGCTCATTGCTCATTTTCTTTGCTGAAATCTAAGCTTGCCTTTCATCTCCTTGAACTCCGTGAGCAGTTCCTCTGCCATGTGTTGCTGATAATCCCATTACCTGTAGCTTCTGTGGGACCTTTTCTGATATTTATTATTTCTTCTAGCGACCACTAATAGCTTTTTCAAATCACCTCATGTACTTAATTATCCTTCTTATACATGTGAAAATTTCTAATGTTTTAATGTTCCTAACATGTCTGTCTGTAATGTTTCTTACATGTCCTATCTATCATCTATCTATCTATCTATCTATCTATCTATCTATCTATCTATCTATCTATCTGTCATCTATCTATCTATCATGTATGTATGAATGTATGTATTTATCATCTATCTATGTATTTACCTACCTATCTTATCTATTATCTATCTATCATCTATCTACCTACCTATCATCTATGATCTATCTATCTATCTATCTATCTATCTATCATCTATTTATCTATTCATCCATCCATCATTCATCCATCCATTCATCCATCCATCCATCAGTTGTGTGTATGTGTGTGAGAATACCCATGCCACAGTGTGCATGTAGATGTCAGAAGATAACCTTTGGGTGTCAGTTCTTTCTCTCCACTGTGTGCCCAAGAGATTGAACTCTGGTCTTTAGTCTCAGTAGTAAACGTCCCTACTAGCTGAGACATCTTTTTGACCTTTGTCAGATATATGTGCAGTGTTAACTGAGGTCTAAAGTAATCTTTGTAGCCTCCCCAAACAAAATTTGTTTCCCCTAGCTTTCAGGGCACCAGTGGCTTAGGATTATTGGACTTTTATTGCTGCTCAGAGTACTGGATATTCTTCCTTTGGGGAGGTGATGGCTCTCCTGTTATAGGCTTCACGCTCAGCCACATACTTTGTCTTGGGCAATGAAACAGGAAGGCAAGAATCAACTAAGTGACCCATACCATCCCTGTAAGAACTGCAATCTTTGTAGTTACTCAAAACAACACTAAATGAAGTAGTTTAGTTAAAACTTAAATAGGGCCATTGACGGTCGGTCAGCGGGTGAATGTGCCTGGCATCATTCCGGAGGATACAATGCCTGGGACCTACATGGCTGAGGAGATGATCAGCCAGTGTCAGTTGTCCTCTGACCTCCACATGTGTGTCATGGCACACGTACTTCACACACACACACACACACACACATACACACACACACACAGTGGGATAAAAGGATCATATTGTGTGGTTAAGGCGTAAGAGCAGTCAATACTAATACTAGTCTGGATGCTACAGACAAGTGTACCATGGGATCAGTTAGAGAGATACAGAGACTATAACAGACTTCACTGCTCCTGTAGTATGTACAATGTGAAGAATGGGTATTTCTGTGAAAAAGCATATTCTAGCATTGGTTTAAAAAACCCATTACCACAAACAGCAGCTTCAAAGGTCACAACTTTCTGCCTATACCCTGGGTTAGAAGGCTCGCTATCTCATGTCAGCCCAATGTGTGCTTGTGGGAGCATTTCTAAAGAGGACGTGTATTCTGAACAGATATGAAAGAGTGCACTTGAGGACTCAACACTCTGATAGTGACGTATGCGACAGTTAGACCTGTGAGGGACTTCCATAAATCTGGGAGCATGAGAAATAAATCGTATTTCTAAATTAAAACATACTCTTCATGATTTAAGATTTCTATGCATAATTAAAGCAACAATTACTGAAAGGTGATATATTTTTACAGCTCCCTGAGTTTTCTATTCACAGTAGGAAATGGAAAGTCTGTTACTTATACTAAAACAATATTAAATGAACAGGAACCCCCCCTTTTATTCACTGAACTTCTTGATATTGAACCAATATGTGTGAGCATTTGTGCTGTTCCCTAGGGAGTCAGGGGAGGCACCATAAGAGGCAGAATTCTGAGCTGTGTTGGGGACCAGTGAATAGGTGCTAGAGTAAAGGAACTCAGGGCAGAGAATGGAAGAGAACAAGCCTCCTGGGGTCATAGCAAGCAGCTCTATATGAACAGGAAGAGAATATAGCTTACAGAACATCAAACTAACCAACCCCCAGCATAGCACACCCAACGGAGGGGCCAGAGGGAGCCACCGAGAGTCCTAAGAACAGGAGAGATGGCTCAGACTTGTGCTTTTAAAAGATCTTGGGGCTGATATACAATAAAAGGAAAAGAACGAGAGGAAGAAAAAAAGCCAGGAGCCCTGAGCTTAGTGGAGTGGTCATGATTATTGATTTGGGAAGAAACACCTGGAAAGAAATGGCTAGAACACACGTGAAAACGTTCAAGCACAGAAGTGG